TGCAATATATTTTTTTGTATGTATGTAACTTCCATGATTCTATGATTACTTATTAGTAACTATTATCTGATCAAATAAATAAAACATACAACTATTTAATTAATGCAATATGTAATGGTTTCTTTTCAAAAATTAGTTGAAAAAAAAAGAGTAAAAAATATTTTTTTTCATTAAATTCTTAGGCAATTAAATTTTGAGCCAATAAAATGGCGACAAGAGTCAAATTTCATGTCATAGTCAATTAATAATTTTCTATTTTATTTGGGAAATTAATCGAATTTTAATTTTTAAATTAAATAGTTAATTAATTAATTATTTAATATATATTATTGGCCCATTAAAGAATGTCACATGTATATTTTGAAGGCCAATTAAAGAATGTCACATAGCATTTTATTAGAGAGTAAAATAAATAATTATTTCTTTAAATATATTATTAAAGAAATAAATATTGAAAATTATGTACCAATCAAATTGAAGTCTTCTTTTCCAAGTCTCTCTCCTAATTATCTCTTTAAATAATTATTAAGAGATAAATATTAGAAAATATGGGCCAGTCAAATTGAATTGTTCTTTTCCAAGATTCTCCACAAGCCATATTCAAGTTCAAGAGCTCTAGAGAATTCTCTGGACGAGATTCAAGTATTCTTGAAGATCCAAAGACGTTCTTGAAGATATGAAGGAAGATTCAAGCGCGTTCAAGCCTAAGATCGACGTTCAATCCGGAAACAAGCTGCCAAGCTCCGAATTGCATTACTAAAGTCAAAGTGTTTTGAAGATTCAAAGACGTTCTTGAAGACCTGAAGGAAGATTCAAGCGCGTTCAAGCCCAAAACCGACGTTCAATCCGGAAACAAACTGTCAAGCCTCCAAATTACGTTATTAAAGTCAAGACTGGCGTAGAGAAGATCGATGATCAACTTTGCGGCGAAGACCAAGAACTCGTGTTGTTCGCGTTCTTGGGAAATCACAACGCTCGAATCAAGCTGCCAAGCCCTCGAAGAAACGTTAATTAAATCTAAATTCAAGACCGACGGAGATCAAACTGAAGATTCGTCTCCAAAAGTCTCAAATCTATTTGAAGATCGCTCTTGAATAAATTAATCATAGGAACAATAGAGATTTGTAATCCACTATATTCATTCGATCCGTAGAAAATCAATTTGTACGAAGTTCTCGTGTTTATTAATTCAGTAATACGAAATTTTGCCTTACAATATATATATATATATATATATATATATATATATAAATGCATATTTATAGTATCAAATGTCATAATATTATTTATAAAGTATTACACAATTAATAAAATAATAAGTATTTGAAAAAAATATATCAATTCAACTATTATGTGTCAGTCTAACAAAAGACTTTGCTGGCAGAAAAACTAGTAAAGAGATTCAAGAAAAGTCCGTCTCAAAAAGTAAACTAAAATACTTGAATTAATATTCTTTAAAATCCATGTTAAGCATTGCAAATTAAACTTAATTAATGCAATTAAATGTTGAAATTACTTGCTCTTGCTTGAAATTTAATTTTATTCAACGTTGCATCGAAGAAGAAATTACGTTACATCTCAATTAACTCCATTAATTTATTTCTAACTTGGCCCAAAGTTGGTTTTGCCTCCGAACCAAGTGCCAAGTGCCAAGTGCCATGATATCAATTCATTTGAATCTGATAATAATTGATTGTTATTAAATGAGTTTCAGGGCTGCACAAATTATATTAAAAAAATTCTACACTCTCCTATTTTTAATAAGTATCATTTCGAAAAGTTACACAGTAATTAAAAATTTTTTTAGTCAATAATAACTCTCGTTAAGGATGATAGAAATGAATGTTTTGAGAAAAGATAAAGAGTGAATATGAAAAGACGTAGTGTATTTATAAGATAGATAAAGATAATAATAGAAAAATATGTACAAAAGATCCAAAACGTCATTTAGTAAATTGTTGATAAAGCCAAAATGACATTTAAAAAGAATATGAGGTAGTAATAAAATAACATACAGAGAAATGCAGCGGTCCTGTTACAGAACAATTCTGTCGGGGTTTGTAAACGTCAGATCATCGTATAACTGTCAGATATAGTTGATCTAACGGTTACGAACCCCAACAGAATGATTCTGTAATGGGATCGTAACATTTCTCATACATATATACATACTATACATGGTTGAGAGATCAAACAAATTTAACATATTGGTGGTTGGTAGGTCTTAATATGAATCACAAAGTCATATTTTCGCATGTGTAATGTGCTAATCATGCGAAGAATCTAAACCGGATTTCAACAAGATTTGGAATTGAAAATTCCATTTGATCATTTTTTTTTTTTGGTAGCCAGCCACGGTTTCGGAGCTATGCCCCGACTAATCTGTTGGTTGACTCGGGTCGCACACCTGACAGTGGTGGGTGAGTCTCTCAACAAGGATTTTCTGTATCCACAAGGACTCGAACATAAGACCTTGCTTAAGCGACATCAAACTGCTTACCACTTGAGTCAACCCATGTTGGTCCATTTGATCATCTTAAAGTAAATACAAATATTATTATCTATCCTAAAAGAAGTCAAATACGAAATAATAGCTCCACACTCGGAAATCTTATTCAACCTTTTTTTTTTTTCTTTTTTCTGATTCTACTTAACGGTACTCTGAGAATAATTTGGTTTTGACTAATTGATTACATAGCCATAGTTCAATTGAGTCAAATTTCGAGGGATAAACAAGCGTATAAAACGAAACTTATTTGACTCAACAAACTATCCAAAGAAGATTATGTGATAAATTCGAGTTTTTCTTACAAAACTCGTTTTATCAAACGGAACTTATTTATAAAAAAAACTTATAAATTGAAATAAACTATAAACTAATTTATTTGACTATCGGTCGTAACGTCGTGGTCTAGTAATCTATACTTATATTAAAAGGAAACCTATTTACTAAATATAGTAGGTAGAAAAATCAATTTTAATTAATGAATTTCTAATTTTATCAAGTAGTAATTAATGCATTTATAATTTTAATCAAGTTTCCTATTTTACATATTGTTTTTAATCCTTCTTATCTTGACATAAAAAAATCCCATAAAATGAGGTGAGCAAAAACAATCAAAATTCTGTTTCTAAAAACTACAAATCAATATTACGATTTTGAATAATACACTAACAAATTATATATATTTTTATAAAACTTATAAAAAACTATTAAAAAAACTTGGTTATTATATTTGTGTGGATATTTATATTTTTTTAATATTATCTTTGTGTTTGATATAACCCTATTGTCGCGGTCCGATTCGGTTAGAGGTTGCTCGACTAAAGACTGTAGACGATCCCACTAGGACGAGACAGGTGATGTCGACTCGGCCCATCAGATACCCAGAAATCGTCCAACCGATCATGATACTCAGTCGACCTCATAAAATCGACCGTACACAAGACGACCGCACTCATGATGACGAGCAAATGTTCTCATAAACCTCACATAGTTGTGTAACTACAAATCGACTCGACAAGACTACAAATCGACTTGTAAGGATCTACAGCAACTCGATGAGCAGATGCGGCACATGGAAGACTCCTAGGCATAAGCTTATAACAGGATAAGAAGGAATCTAGATGCTGACTCAGGAGTAAGCAGAATGTGGACCGACCAGGGCATTTTGGGTACTTCACGTAAGTCGGCCGGGGCATTTTGGGACTTCAAAGTAAGTGTTTTTACCCCTATATAAAGGGGTTGAGGTAAACCTAAACCCTAACTATCATTCTCATTCAATACTCAGCTGCTGCTCCCCCTGAGCAGAGCTCTCTCTCTCCCTTCACTTACTGACTTGAGCGTCGGAGGCTCTTCACCGGAAAACATTTCCGGTGTTGAGTTCTTGCAGGTGTTCGCTGTGGTCTACGAGCGACTTGGAGGCGATTCGAACAGACCGGAGCTCATTCTCACCGGTTCACTCCGGATCTAGGAGGAGACCCATCAGTGTTAAAAAAACTATTCAACACTATTCTTTTTTATTATATAATAAAATAATAATTAAATATTATATGATGAACAAGAATAAATAAAACTGTTACTTTTTTTTTTTATATCAAGGATAAATTTATATACTGAAATTAAAGTTTTATTAGTATAAATATTTTAGTGAGATAATATATTAATTATTTTACAAGCTAGCACTAACATACTCATATTTAAGTTCTGGC